TCACGTCCTAATGCTGTCAATGTGTTTGTAATGCTGTATGCGTTGAGTGTATGTCTGTGTCTGTCGTGCAGTCGTATTGCAGTGAAAGCCGGCGAACAGTTTTGAACCGATTTTGTGACACAAACTCGAGAAACACGCGTTGAAACTCATCTGTCCATCACTGGAGGACATCTCGTTGTCTGACGGACTCGACCACAGCCTCGCAGGCCATCGGATCACACGATTGTCTGCCATATTGTGTGTGGCATACAATCGTTGCCCAAACGCTGCCCATCCAGAGCTCAGTCGTTGATCACCCGCTCGGGTCCTATCGTTCGCCTACTTCTTAGGCACACACTTATACCGGAAGTGGTTTCTGTCGAGACATCTGTTTCTGTCGTTTATTTGTAGTTTTAATTATAATTTATATATCGAAACGCCATTCAAACCCATTGGACACCAATCGACACAACCATATAAGCCATGTCTTCGGGTTATAGTCTGGAGGAATCAAATGCCGACCGAAATGTCGAGATTTGGAAAATCAAAAAACTCATCAAAAGCCTTGAGGCCGCACGAGGGTTAGTCACAACACATCCGCTCAATGGATCCCATTTGGGTCTATTCACTAACATTTGTCTTTCTCTCCCACACGCTCTCCGGTGCTCTCTCTCACTGACTCCCACTCGTTAGTAACGGGACGTCAATGATATCGTTGATTATACCACCGAAGGATCAAATATCTCGGGTGTCGAAGATGTTGGCCGACGAGTTCGGCACCGCGTCTAACATCAAGAGTCGCGTGAATCGACTGTCCGTTTTGGGCGCCATAACCTCAGTTCAGCATCGGTTGAAGTTATACACAAAAGTGCCGCCCAATGGACTCGTCATCTATTGTGGAACTATTGTCACCGAAGAGGGAAAGGAGAAGAAAGTGAACATCGATTTCGAGCCCTTTAAGCCAATTAACACATCTCTATATCTCTGTGATAATAAATTCCATACCGAAGCCCTGTCCGCACTTCTGGCCGACGACAACAAGTTTGGTTTCATTGTAATGGACGGCAACGGAGCCCTCTTCGGCACATTGCAGGGCAACACTCGCGAAGTTCTTCACAAATTTCCCGTCGATTTGCCAAAAAAACACGGTTTGATTGAATGCACGCATTGTTTGATTTCATTGTAATGGACGGCAACGGAGCCCTCTTCGGCACATTGCAGGGCAACACTCGCGAAGTTCTTCACAAATTTCCCGTCGATTTGCCAAAAAAACACGGTTTGATTGAATGCACGCATTGTTTGTGGTATTGTTTTTGTTAATCTTTTGTCTCTATTGCCGTTTGACAGGACGTGGAGGTCAGTCAGCTCTCCGTTTCGCGCGACTTCGGATGGAAAAGAGACACAATTACGTTCGCAAAGTGGCAGAAGTGGCCACAACTCTCTTCATTTCTAACGACAAACCAAACATATCGGGACTAATACTGGCCGGAAGTGCCGACTTCAAGGCAGAGCTCAATCAATCAGATATGTTTGATCCGGTCTGACATCACATCTCTTTATCTATCTCTTGATATAACTAATTATCTTTTTTGTCTGCTTTTACAGAGACTTCAAGTAAAAGTATTAAAATTAGTGGACGTCTCTTATGGCGGCGAAAACGGCTTCAATCAAGCCATTGAATTGTCTGCAGAAGTCTTGTCTAACGTTAAGTTTATTTCATTGTAATGGACGGCAACGGAGCCCTCTTCGGCACATTGCAGGGCAACACTCGCGAAGTTCTTCACAAATTTCCCGTCGATTTGCCAAAAAAACACGGTTTGATTGAATGCACGCATTGTTTGGTGTATTGTTTTTATTAATCTTTTGTCTCGATTGCCGTTTGACAGGACGTGGAGGTCAGTCAGCCCTCCGTTTCGCGCGACTTCGGATGGAAAAGAGACACAATTACGTGCGCAAAGTGGCAGAAGTGGCCACAACTCTCTTCATTTCTAACGATAAACCAAACATATCGGGACTAATACTGGCCGGAAGTGCCGACTTCAAGGCAGAGCTCAATCAATCAGATATGTTTGATCCGGTCTGACATCACATCTCTTTATCTATCTCTTGACATAACTAATGATCTTTTTGTCTGCTTTTACAGAGACTTCAAGTAAAAGTATTAAAATTAGTGGACGTCTCTTATGGCGGCGAAAACGGCTTCAATCAAGCCATTGAATTGTCTGCAGAAGTCTTGTCTAACGTTAAGTTTATTCAAGAGAAGAAACTCATCGGTTTGTGTCCCACTATTTGACACATTTAATGAATTAAATCGCAAAAATATTTAATGAATATCTATTTGTAACAACAGGTCGTTATTTTGATGAGATATCTCAAGACACGGGGAAATACTGTTTCGGAGTGGAGGACACACTGAAAGCACTAGAAATGGGATCCGTCGAGATTCTGATCGCGTGGGAAAACCTCGATATCATGCGATTCTCGCTGAAGAACGCAAACACTAATGAAGAGAAGATCCTTCACTTGACTCCCGACCAGGAAAAGGACAAAAGCCATTTCGTTGACAAAGACACGGGCGTCGAGTTGGAACTGTTGGAGTCCATGCCTTTACTCGAATGGTTGGCTAATAATTATAAGCAATTCGGAGCCACCCTTGAAATCATCACTGATAGGTCTCAAGAGGGCTCGCAATATGTTAAAGGATTCGGTGGAATAGGGGGTCTGTATTTGTTCATTGTTTTAAACATCATTACTAGAAATTATGTGCATTTTGATTGTCATTTGAATTATGAAAAACATGTTTATGTTTTGCTTAAAATTATTGGAAATTTTTATAAACTGTTTGAGCGAATGCTTGTATAGTGTGGGGGAATGTGTGGAAAATGTTAGGTTTTATTGAGGGAAAGCTTATAAACTGTGGGGCACTCGGAATGTATCGATATGTTAAAGATTCACAAATGAAAAACAAGTGTTAAGTCATGAAAATTTAATATGCGTTACATTCTATGCATACATACAAGTCATACATGGGATATGCCGACTGTCCGGCCCTCACAATCCAATGTCAAACTTTATTTTATTGAATATGAAAATATAACTTTGGCTTAAATAGTGTGCAACGAAAAAGACTTTAATTTTTTGGATTACATTTTGTATTTTTTCATATATTTATTTATGTTTCGCCAAACGATAAGATTATTTTATTGAAAGCATTTTATTGAGAAAATGATTGCTTTGGAAGTGAACT